AATTACTGTAGTATAGTTTAAGGTCTGGTATAGTGAAGCCACTTGCTTCATTCTTCCTGCTAACTATTGCTTTATCTATTCTGGGTCTCTTATTTTTCCAGATGAATTTCATGATTGCTTTTTCTATTTCTATGAGGAATGCCATTGAGATTTAGATTGGAATTGCATTAAATCTGTATAGTGCTTTAGGTAGTATGGGCATTTTGATAATATTAATTCTGCCTATTCAAGAGCACGGTAGATATTTCCATCTTCTAAGGTCTTCTTTGATTTCTTTCTTTAGGGTTCTTGTAGTTTTCATTGTATAGATCTTTCACCTCTTTTGTTAAGTTGATTCCCAAGTATTTTATTTTACTTTTTTTAGGCTATTGTAAATGGGGTAGTTTTCCTCATTTCCCTCTCAGAGGATTTGTCACTGATATACAGATTTGATCTATGGGTGTTGATTTTATATCCTGCTACTTTGCTGAATTCATTTACTAGTTCTAGAAGTTTTCTGGTGGAGCTTTTAGGGTCTTCTAGGTATAGAATCATATCATCAACAAATAGTGCTAATTTAAGTTCTTCTTTTCCTATATGTATCCCTTTAATTTCTTTCATCTGTCTAATTGTTCTGGCCAGTGTTTCAAGACCTATGTTAAACAGAAGTGGTGAAAGAGGGCATCCCTGTCTTGTTCCAGGTTTTAGAGAGAATGCCTTCAATTTTTATCCATTTAGAATGATGTTGGCCTGGGGCTTAGCATAGATAGCTTTTACAATGTTGAGATATGTTCCTGTTATCCCTAGTTTTCTGGTGTTTTGAACATGAAGGGGTGCTATATTTTGTCAAATGCTTTTTCTGCATCTATCAAGATAATCATATGATTCTTATCTTTGAGTCTATTGATGTGATGAATTACATTTATTGATTTCCATATGTTGAACCAACCTTTCATCCCTGGGATGAATACCACTTGATAAAGGCACACTATCTTTTTGATATGTTTTTGTATTAGATTTGCCAGAATTTTATAGAGAATTTTTGCATCTATGTTCAATAGAGATATTGGTCTGAAGTTTTCTTTCTTTGGTGTGTCTTTGCCTGGTTTTGGAATCAGGGTGATATTGGCCTCATAGAATGAATTTGGAAGTGCTGCCTCTTTTTCTATTTCCTGAAATAAATTGAAGAGAATTGGTATTAGTTCTTCTTTAAAGGTCTTGTAGAACTCTGCTCTGTATCCATCCAGTCCTGGGTTTTTCTTGGTTGGTAGACTTCTGATTGTGTCTTCTATTTCATCACTTGATATTGGTCTGTTTAAATTGTGTATATCATCCTTATTCAATCTGGACAAATCGTATGGCTTAAGAAATTTGTCAATGCCTTCAATATTTTATATTTTATTGGAGCAAATTTTCAAAATAATTTTAATTATCCTCTGTATTTCTGTAGTGTCTGTTGTGATTTTACCTTTTTTCATCATTTATGCTGGTAATTTGAGTTTTCTCTCGTCTTCATTAGCATAGCTAAGGATCTGTCAATTTTATTTATTTTTTTCAAAGAACTAACTTTTTGTTTTATCAATTTTTTCAATTGTTTTTTTGGTTTTAATTTCATTGATTTCAGCTCTAATTTTAGTTATTTCTTGCTTTCTACTGCTTTTGCTGTTGGTTTGTTCTTCTTTTTCTAGGGCTTTAAGATGTAATGCGAGGTCATTTATTTGTTGACTTTTTCTTCTTTTAAAGAATGAACTCCATGCAATGAACTTTCCTCTTAGTACTGCTTTCATAGTGTCCCAGAGATTTCAACATATTGTGTCTATGTTCTCATTTACCTCTAAGAATTTTTTAATCTCCTCCTTGATGTCTTTTGCAACCCATTATTCATTCAGTGGCATACTGTTTAGTCTCCAGGTGTTGGAGTAATTTTTATTTTTTATTTTTTCATTGATTTCCAATTTCATTCCATTATGATCTGATAAAATGCAGGTAATTTTTATTTTTTATTTTGTCATTGATATCCAATTTCATTCCATTATGATCTGATAAATTATGATCTCTACTTTTTGTATTTGCTAAGAGTTGCTTGTGACATTTTATATGGTCTGTTTTAGAGAAGGATCCATGTGCTGCTGAGAAGAAAGTATCTGCTTGTGCAGGTTGAAATATTCTATATATGTCAGTTAAGTCAAAGTTATTAATTGTATTATTGAGATCTATAGTTTCTTTATTCAACTTTTGTTTGGAAGATCTATCCAGTGGTGAGAGAGGTGTATTAAAGTCACCCAATATTATTGTGTTTTGGTCAATTTGACTCTTGAACTTGAGAAGAATTTGTTTGATGAACATAGATGCTCCATTGTTTGGTGCATATATATTTATAATTGTTATGTCTTATTGGTGTATGGTTCCCTTGAGCATCTGTAATGTCCATCTTTATCCCTTTTGATTAACTTTGGCTTTAAGTCTACTTTATTTGATTTGAATGTGGAAACCCCTGTTTTCTTCCACAGTCCATGTGAGTAGTATGATTTTTCCCAACCTTTCACTTTCAGTCTGGGTATGTCTTTTCCTATCAGATGAGTCTCCTGAAGGCAGCATATTGTCGGGACTCTTTTTTAATCCAATCTGCTAGCTTATGTCTTTTGATTGGTGAGTGTAAGCCATTAACATTCAGGGTTATTATTGAGACATGGTTTGCATTCCCAGCCATATTTGTTTATTTTTGTTATTTAACTTGACTTGATTTTCTTCTTTGATTAGTTTTTCCTTTAGGGTACTACCTCTCTCTGCTGATTTTCATTGTTGTTTTTCGTTTCCTCTTCATGGAATATTTTTCCAAGGATGTTTTGTAGTGTCTTTTCTAGCTATAAATTCTTTTGACTTTTTTTTATCATGGAATGTTTTTATTTCATCATCAAATCTAAAGCTTAATTTTGCTGGATACAAGATTCTTGGTTGGCATCCATTTTTCTTTCAGAGCTTGATATATGTTGTTCCAGGATCTTCCTAGCTTTCAGAGTCTGTGTTGAAAAATCTGCCATTATCCTAATTGGTTTTCCCCTATATGTAATCGGATTCCTTTCTCTTGTGGCTTTTAAAATTCTCTCCTTATTCTGTATGTTGAGCATTTTTATTATAATGTGCCTTGATGTAAATCTATTGTGATTTTGTATATTCAGCATCCTGAATCGGGCTTAGGGTGTCGGGAGCCAGGAGTCTGAAGTCCTGCTCGAAAGCTGAGGCCTGAAGCCCTGCATGGGGTCACGGCACTGGAATTTTCTGCAGAGAGCAGCTGTATAGAGGTCCTCTAACACTCTCAGAGATGCAATATTCCAAATAGATGAGACCTGATCACAGAGTGACACAGAATGCTTCCTCCCTCTGGCCCTCCATCTTCATCATCCCCCAGTCCTTTTTTTTAATTATTTTTTAAAATTTTGAAACCGGGTCTTGCTAAGTTGCTGAGGTTGGCCATAATCTTGTGATCCTCTTGCCTCAAGTTGCTGGGATTACAGGCATCACCCACAACTAAGACTGTTTTTCTTATAATACTTTTACACTTTTGTTCATCTTTACATTGAGTATTTTTCTCCCTTCTTGTGGCCTCCTTCACCCTATGTGGTGCCCCAGACTTGGGCCCTGGACTTTTGCCTTTTCCCATTGCTAATGAGTCCTGGAAGGAGAAAAGCAAATAGTGAAGCTCTGGGTATCAATGGGTCCCAGAAGAAGAAGATAATCAGTGAACACTGAGTTGTTGTTTTCCCAGTGACAATGAATTTCAGACTTTTTACAACTTTTTTCCTGACTGCCCAAACTGACACATTCTGCCTCAGTCTCCAATGATTAACTCACCCTCATTGTAACCTATAAAACTAAAACTCTTTCTGTAACTGGTGGCCATTTTTCTACTCAGAAAATGAGCCCCTCTGGTGCCTGATTGACTGCCTCCACTGCAGAATAAAGGAAAGCTTGCTGATCCGTTTGAGGTCTGCTTCTGTCCCTGTTATTTGTGTTTTTATAGTAGTGCTGTGTTTTTATGTCGGTTRCTTTTGCTTCCACTATTGCTCTGGGCCCAAGATGAAGCAGGCACCATGCTGGAAAGACAGGGTAAAAGAAAGCAGCTCACCTCCTGGTGCCCAGGAAAGAGAGAGGAAGCGGGTAAGGAGCAGCAGGTCACGCCCAACAGTGACCCACCTTCTCCAGCCACACCTGACTGCTTACAGTACCAGCCAGTTAGTCCATTCAAACTAAGAAGAAACAACTAGGTTACAGCTCTTAAATTCCAATCACTTTACCTCCAAACATTCCTGCATTAACACAGGATCTTTGGGGGCACACCTTCTATCCAAACCATAACACTAAATTCTGCCATGTATAACTGATCTGTGAATTTTCAGGAATCAGAGAAGTCTCTCCCAGGTGTGGAAGGTTCAAGTAATCTTATTTCCAACTCATGAGGCCTAGAGACCTCACTGACATATTGGCTATAAAAGGCTACCATCATTTACTGTGTACTTAAGCACCATATCATGCAATGTGACCCTAATGCCAAATAATCTTTACCAAAAAAGTAGTTATTTTTCTCATCATTTGGTGGCTGTTTAAATGAGTCTCAGAGGTCCTGAAATTTGCTCAGGGACATCTACCAAGTTAGTAGTAGAGCCAGGACCACACTCAAGCTTGTGGTTCCTAAAACAACGGTCTTACTTCACTCCAGGAAAGAGGAATCAGCAGTAGGAACTGGTTTAAGGATTAATGTGGTGGTCAAAGTGCTGTGGGAGCCCAGGGAAGGGAGAAGGCAGATCTGCCCCAGGGTAAAGTGGCCTCCTCTGTTCTGAGCATGTATGTAACAGCACCATACCTCCTGACGGGGAAAGCAAAATCAGCCCCTTTCACACAGCAAAGGAAGAAACCCAGACACCAAATAACAACAATAACCATGGTAATGATAGTTTTTACTTCCACTTTAAAAATGTATCCAAAGATTTTTCTTTCTTTCTTTCTTTCTTTTCTTTCTTTCCTTCTTTCCTTCCTTCCTTCCTTCCTTCCTTCCTTCCTTCCTTCCTTCCTTCCTTCCTTCCTTCCTTCCTTTCTTTCTTTCTTTCTTTCTTTCTTTCTTTCT